AACGGCAAATCACGATACTACGGGAAAAACCCCAGAAGAATTATTTTTAGGCAGAAAGTTAATTACGCCTTTAGATAAATTATTCTTTGTGCAACAAAGAGAGCAAGAGTTTAAACAGAAAGATGTGCAAAAACTGATTGATCAGGCGCTTAAAAGCTCGGATACGGCAAGAAATAAGCAAAAAGCATATTATGATAGAAAACGCCGTGAAGCAGATTTTAAAGTCGGGGATAAAGTATTGAAGCGGAAATTTTCTTTATCAAGTGCCCCAGACAATTTTACGGCAAAGCTAGCTCCAAAATTTGAAGGCCCCTATGTAATTCAGGAAATCAAAGGAGTCTTATTATATCTTAAGAACGAGAGAGGGGAGATTTGTAAAGCAAGTCCCGACCAGGTGAAAAAATACTATAATCCAAATGATTTTGAAATCCTTAAAAGTTTCTTGCAGGACTCAAGTCTAAACAAAGTAGAAGGTCCAGAAATAACAACAACTGGTCCACCACCCAAGAAGCAGAGAACTGAAGAGAGACCTAGCCCTTCTACAACCCAGACGATGGACAGAAATTGTTCCACTTAAACGCGCGTCAGCCAAAACAGTCGCAGATGCATTCTTACACAGATACATTTTAAAATACGGTGCACCGATAAAAGTCATTAGCGATAACGGAAAACAATTCATTAGTCAAATATTTGAAAACATATGCAATGGACTTGGCATACGCCATATCAAAATGGTTCCGTATAGACCACAGGCAAACATAGCAGGTGAAATGGTTCCGACCAGGTGAAAAAATACTATAATCCAAATGATTTTGAAATCCTTAAAAGTTTCTTGCAGGACTCAAGTCTAAACGAAGTAGAAGGTCCAGAAATAACAACAACTGTTCCACCACCCAAGAAGCAGAGAACTGAAGAGAGACCTAGCCCTTCTACAACCCGGACGACGGTACCAAAAAGAAAAAATAAAATTTCAAACTCCAGCATTTAAGAAAAACAAGAATACAGATGCACCGCGTAAAGAAACCGTGGTAAAGAGCAAAACACCACCTACAACGGATCGCAGGAGAAATTATACATCAAGGAGAACGCGCCCAGGGCCAGAGAGTCAGGTGCCAGCAAGGCCGCCGTTCCGGAAACTGAAACGGCAACAGGAGGAACAAAAATACCAGGAACAACAGAAGAAATTCAAGAAGGACTCCAGGCCGGAGGACGTCAAGACCAGCCGTCCCATGGAAAAACGGAAACGACAACAGCCCGACAATTACTCCGCCAAGAGGCCAGCATGCAGAGGACGCAAAAGAAAAACTAATGTGGACGACACTCGGAGGTCAGTAAGGAGAAGATTGACGTCCATGAAACTTATAACTTGGGAATAATATTGCCAGAAAAGAATGACGGAGTTTCAAGCATCGAAAACTCAAAGATAAGTTAAAATCTTCTATAATTTTTTTTTTCTCTTTTGTTCCGAAATGTTATGCATAAGTACGAAGTTCTATATTTTGACGAAAGTCAATATGTCTCGGTTGAGACTTAGTTTTGTTTTACTTTATTTAGCTAAGGCGAAAGTATTATTTTCTTTAAGTATAAAAGCTAAGAACAAGCATTTTTCTGTTGGTCGAAAGACTAATTCTGTTGTGTTAAAAGCCAAAATTTGGCCGAAGATAAAAATAACTTCGTATTCTTGTATTAATAAGAATTTTAGTTTCAGTGCCGCCAGCTTGGCGAAGAATGAGTAAAGTAAAAATTTATTTCTCTTATTCATTTTATGGTAAATTGTAAAAATCATATGTATTAAAATTTTGTAAATGTACGTAAATACTTGAATGTTATGTAAAAGTAGAATTTAGTCTAGAAGCATAAAATTTTAGATGCTGAAAGTAAAAATGCTCAAAAGGAATGAATTCAAAATTTAAGTATTAAACTGTAGATAAAGTCATGCTTTAGAGCGAAAGCCTGCATGTTTAAAGATGAATGAGGGGGAAGTTAGAATGAATGTGTTTTGTAGGGTTCTCCACCTACACTTGAAATTTTAAGAATGTTAAAGTAGCTCATTGAGTTGTAGAATGTCGAGTAAGGTGTGTCTATTTGGTCGTTGAATTCTAACAAATCATGGTGGTTAGGGGAAGTGTTGTAGGACTAAAACACTAATATTCCCGTTTGACACCACACATGGTGGAGAGCCAGGGTAAAGTTAAATGAATGCTTGAAAAATTGAATGAATGTGAATTAAGCAATAACTAAGGAAAACGAATCGTTTAAAAACAAAAATTTATTGTGTCAAGAAAGTGTAAATTATAATGTATTTAGAAAGATACTGATACTTATTCCTTCCAGATGCTGGAAGGAAAAGACCAAGATTGATTGATGAAGTCCAGGAAAAGTTGCTGTAAGAAGAGAGAGTTATAAGTATACACAGAAATTTAGTATACAATTTGTTACATAAGATTTTTTTTGTGTAAACGAGGTTCTCGAGAGTTAGTTCAGAATTATAGAAACTTACAACAGGTCGTTTGTAGGACCTGCTTCCAAGTTTTCCAAATTCTGGCAGCGGCAAATGTAGGGTTTATATTTATTTTAACTAACATTTATTTTAAGTTTAAACTACCTTTCCTTTCAAGCCTTACTTTCCCCTGGAACTGCCAATGCCAGAGTATGTAAATTTTAGTAAAACGCGCAAACGCGCAAGGATCCAAATCATCAGCGGAAGTGTTCTGAGTTAAATAGAAAGGAAACGAGTTCGAGGTGTGCTGTTCCTACTTCACGAGCGCGGAGGTAGTTAGCCAGAAATTGAAGAACCCCCGCGTTTCGGCCTGTGTGCTTGCCTGGAAGTATTGTTAATCGTTCAACGTGATTTTCAAGTTTGCTGAATTAGCAGCGGTATTGTAAAACGCGGTGAGGTTAGTTACTTTTAGAGAGCCTCGTAGTTAGAGTCTTGTCTTTAGTTTCTTTTCAGGTTATTATTTTTATTTTACCGCCGAGTTGGCGTAGTTTGTGAGCGTCAAGAGCACGCACCTGTAATTTATTACGTTGAATAAAAAGGGACTTAAACCCTTAACAAGACTCTGTCTTTTATCCAGTTTCAACAGTCACCTCTTGGTTGCGTGAAAGTTGGAGGCGCGCAACGCTACATTGGCGCCCGAACACTTATCGAACAACATAAACACTTAGTATTTCCGAAAACCATACATTTTTATTAGAAAGTTGAAAAAGTTTTTTGAATAACTCTTAATAAACGAAAAGCCTTAGTATATGTCTAGAAACTATAATGTGTTTTAAGTATTTCTATTGCAGAAATACTTAACATGCAAAAAAAAAAAAAAAAAAAAGATGTGTAGCGCCACATTTAAAATTTTTAAGTAAATGACAAAAATATTCATGTTTATTTTCTAGCAAATATAACAGTACAACTCGTAAAAGAAGGACGTTATCTGTTTTCGTCTTTATTTCCTACATTTTATTTAATACTCTTATTGTAATCACCGTCATTATCAATGACACTTTGCTACCTAAAGGAGAAATTTTCTATTCCAAATTTATAGGATAAATGTGCTTTTCGATAAAAAATTTTGAAATTCCATTTTTAGCTCCTTCTACATTCGAAGTTTCTTCCAGTTAAAATATTTTGCAGCGAACTGAACAAATGGGTATCAAAGGATGCAATTGTCAGGTGAAATAACACTTCCCATCCCAACTCTCTGGTTTTATTCAGAGTTTTTCTTGCGTTTTCATGGTGTAGAATGCTATCTTTTCTGTTATTAACAGGTGGATGCTTTTCAGTTAAAGCTTGATTTACTATATCTAATTATTTACTGTAATAAATTTTGGAAAAATGGATGCTACAGGTAAAAAATTGTTTAAATTCTTAAATCGTCATATTTGACGATTAAAATTACTTAGATTTGAAGATTAAAATTACTGAGATTACGTAGTGTCCGCAATAACCTATAGATACATAAAATGTGAGAATAGAAATGTGTGATCTGTGAAGGAAATTTAAGATCAAAGTAAACTTTTCCCAAAGAACGATAACTAAAATATACCACAAGAGAATTATTTTTATTTTTCAGCATGATTACTTCAGAATAAGCACTAAGGAATAATAAAGAAGGTATCTGCCAGACAGACAAATGAATCACACAGGTACTTATACAAATTCTCACCCAAAACATGTCACACGTGACTTAACAAACATTAAGAATATAACGGTGAGCTCATTAACAGTCAATCGTCTTCCATCTGTCCAAAATGAAAGTTCTGGAGGAATTGGTTATCAGAGGATCAGGAAATGCTTCTGCCTTATGTCATTATGCAAATCGTAGATTACTAAAAAAAAAGATTAGCTTCGCTTTCTTCTGACAGAGTATGTAGAACCCAAACACGTATCTGTTAACTTTACCAGCCTATGTCATCTGTTCTTCAGTAGTCGACCAACTATGGTGTTAAGCTCATCCACTAACTCTTTGATCATTTGACAAGGATTTGCTTCCAATTCTTTACTTTACTGAATGAGGCGAATCACAAAGATCAAAATTACCCGACTTGAAGCTAGCAAACCACATCTGGCATTTACGGACATCTAATGTGACTAGATAAATATCACAAATGTGTTTTGTAGCTTTCGCTGCATAAGTACATTTACGAAACTCGGAAAATAGGCTATGTAGAGAATATACAGCTCTTCTAGCTTTCGACTTTATATTTCAAATAGTGATGTTATCAAAATGAATTGACGTGTAAAAGAGAAGATAACAAGTCACTTTTTCTAACACAGATATGTTTGCACAGTTTTGGTTTATAGTCAACTGATTAGAATTAAATAAATGTTAATGCGCGCAAATACGTTATAAAGTTCCAGTCCCTCTTATGTTTTAAAAGCTTGCTTCTCCTATATCCGTATTCTCATTAAAACAAGTTAATACGATATTAACTAAAATATAGGGTAATTAAAAGCATATATAATTTATCAATAATTTCCTGATTGTTATTGTAATTTTTTTCAGATCACAAGTTCTCATTATTCCGCACATACTGGCTAGTTTGGGCAATATTGTTTGGAGCCGCAGTCAATGTCGATTGCCCTAGAGGATACACTGCAAGGTTTATGTCCAGCGTGTGGGCCATGTTTGCTGTCGTATTCCTCGCTATATATACTGCCAATTTGGCGGCTTTCATGATTACTCGAGAGGAGTACTATGATTTAACAGGAATAGATGATAAAAGGGTAAGCTTCATTTTATTGTTGTCAAACTGTTAATAGTTGTCAAAAGTCAAAAGTTGGAAACCTGAGCCATGATGAAGTAACGCGTTTTGGTTAAAAACGATGGGGGACACATATTTGAAACTTAAGGAATTAATGAGGATATTAACTTGGAAGATATAGAGAGTTGTACGTATTTGCTGAATTCCAGAACCACGCCAAGGATGGTTAAAATGAAGCACTGACTTTGGTAAAAACAATAGGGTAACACAAATCAAAATTTAATAGGAAGTTAAAGTGAATATTATTGCGATGAAAGCAATTTTCGGGCGATGAAAACAATTTTGGGGAGCAATTTCGAGATTTGCTTACAGTGTTCATATCGGTGGTCAAGTTTTGTTGATGATGTAAATTTTATTAAATTATCAATAATAATAGTTTTGTAGTTCTTACTAAATTTAGTTTAACAAATATGATTTTCGGCAAATAAATCTTGTATTCTAAAGTAATATAAATGTTAAATAGTATAACATTCAAATTTTATTTAATATAATTTATAACTTTGAAGCTTAAAATCATACTGACTGCTATTCCTCATAATACTTTCGTAATTCAGTTTGTTCAACTGCAACAAAAAATTGGCTGTTTAATATAAAGCATTACTATGAAATGAAAATCTAAACATAAATAAAAGTCTAAAAATTTGAACTCATAATAATCAAATGCAATTTTAAATGTAAAATATGAAACTGTTTAGAGATATATAATATATATTACCTAGCACTTCCTGAAACGTACTTTTCATTACCCTGTTTATGAATTCCGTTAAAAATATTTGCAAGCTTCCTTTTTAATTCCAGGCATTTTAATTCCTTTTTCTTTGTCTTCAACGCTATTCATATAATCGACTGACGTGCTTTACAAAGACTGTATGGAAATTTCAACTTCTTTATAAATATTTTGAAAGTAGACTGTTGAAACGTAAAGAATTCCCTGAGTCATTTGCGATAAATGAAAACAATTCAGCGGTGTATAAATTATAAAAAGCCACAGTTCAATAAAAAGAAAATGTCCAATAAAAGATAACAATATGGAAATTATAATTTGAACTTCACTTGAAAAATCTAGTAAGTTTCTTTCAAATGCTTTCAACAGAAAGCTCACTAATGCTATAAATGCTTTGATATGTACAGGAAATCATAAATTCAGGATATGTTCCTATTGTATTTTCACCGAGTATATAAATCGCTTCGATTTAACTAAACCAACGATTTGAAATAGTTTCTAGTTTTAAGAACCCTTGAATTGTGGACGTTAAAGACATAATATAGCCTATATTTCTATCTGATAATCTGAACCCATAGAAAAGAAATGAATTGAACGACAATAGAAATTTTGGAGAGTTTCAAAAAATTACTTTTTTCTTTATTTATATAATCAGTAAAGTAAAAAACATTAGTAAAAGGCTGCCTTAACAAGTTGAAAAATTGATCTATTTTCCATTTTGTATATATTGAAATAAATTGTAATATTTATATATTATTTTTATTTTTATATCTAATACACTACATAATTTAAATGTAAATCTCATGCATGGCGTAGCATTTTTATCTTCGCATGTTATTTTATTTAAATATCACATAAATTAAATAAGAAATATGTGAAAAAATGTTTGCTACATCTCTTACTAACGTATGAGTTTCAACAAACATATTATATACAAATGTGTAAAACAGAATACCAAAAATAGAATTATACATGGCTACATTTCAATTAGAGCCAAGTGAGAAACTGAGCAGCAAAATATCCCAAAAATTAATGAGTAGATTATATGCAACCAACTTAAATTTCAGGAGAACAAATATTTTCATGATTAGATAAAATGACGCTGTGAAATAATAAGAAGAATGGAATTGCGTTTTGACTTTTAAAAAAAAATATTTGAAATACCCCACGTTCCTTGATTAGGAAGTTCCTTATTTACGATACCTATAACAAAAGCATATATAAAATTAGAACTTTATTAATAACAGTTAAGACCCAAGATATACTTAAGAATTACTTAAACCGACTTTTATATTAAATAATAAATTGAAAATTTAGTAAGTAAATTAATAAAAAAAAAATCATCCACCTCATCTTTTTATTAAAAACGAAGAAGAATGCTTCATTTTCTAAATTTTATATTCAGTGCTTTGTTTCGTTCTATAAATACTAAAACTTATAAATTATTTTGATAGACAAATTTCTTCAACAAAATGTTTTGCTCAAAAAATATGTATATTTGCCGCAAATTGCTAATTGAAGCAATTAGTGAAAATTTCAGTATTTGGAAGAAGTAATTAAGCAGCAAAAGAAACATTTAATATTTCTTTCACCTTTGAATTTTCGCAGTTATGCAGTTATATAATTATGCTAATTTATTTTTAAAAACAAATTCTTTTGCCAATTTCCATCTCGAAAGTTTTTCTTAAGAAAACTTCCGAAGCGGAAAGTACTTTCATTAAGAAAAGTCTTTTTCTTCGTAAAAGATACTTAAGAATTACTTATAATGACTATTGTTTAAGATGTTCCAAAATTAATGAGTAATTTGTACAAAGTATTAAGGTGAGCGCATAATTAAGTAAGGATAGAATCATTCTTGAAAAATTTATTAAATTAAATTTCTTTTTGAGTAACATTCCATTAGATCATTAGCAAAAGTTCCTTTTTTTATAAATTATTTTATAGTCTATTAAACGAGTTGTAGTATATAGAGATATGCAATTAATTAACTTCGGCGAAGCATTTTAGAGCTCTCAACCCTTAGACTTTATCCTATACATTTGGTTAATTTGTATAATGCTAATAATGTGCATGTTTTAAAAGCATAAATACAATTAAATGCTAAATATTATTTTTGCACTTCCATTATATAAATTATGGAAAAGGCGTTGAAGATGTTGTATGCTCAAGCCTAATATTTTTGTTTTCTTTTAATGCATATCTATTTTGAATGATACTGATCACATGCAGGGTATCTCTGAATAGCTATGTTTGAGCATTAAAAAATCAAACTGGGGATTTATCGCATTTTTACGTGAACCAATTGTGTAGTTCTATCATTAAAAGGCAATCCAAATTTGGAAAAATCGGTCAACATTTAAAAAATGAGATTTGGGTCTTTGACTACAATTCCAATTTATTGTAACGGCCTTTCAAAAACTTTTAAAAAAGTACCTTTTAAAAACTAGCGAATTCTGAAAAAGTCTGAATTGTTTATCGATCGAAATTCTTATTTCAGACAATATCAATATTTACACAACAAACAAATTACACATGAGGAATCTGTGCCAAGTCCACAACATTGTAATGACGAATTAATTCCTCTTGGGTGTCTTCGATTCTCTATGCCAAATAATAAACTGTGAGGCCAGAATGTCGCCAAAAATAGCTTTCTTCTTCACGACAATGAGCCTGTCACAAGTCTGCCATCGCATAAATGTGTCTAGTCGAAAACTACATATGCATTTTGTTATGCCCTCTTTATTTTCTAGACTTATCTCTATTCGACAACTTTCTGTTCACATATTTATAGCACAAACTCGGTGTCTTTGTTTCGATTTTATACTTATAGTCTAAAAAATTCAACAGCGAGGATTTCAAACGATATTTTTACATCTTCTCATCAGCATACATTGTTTCGATGTATCTCCTGATAACGAAACAGCGTATAGATCACAGAGAAACTTGCTTCATGATGAAATAATGTTTATTTTTGCAGTAATTCATTCCTTTAACCTAGCATCAGAGTCGTTTCCAAATCGCACTACCGTGTTTTACTATTCTTCAGAATCTTAATGAAAATAATAAAAGAAAGCAATTCACGTGCCGAAAATTTTCCACCTAGAATCACAGAATGTTCTAAATATATTACTCTTACAATGCATGTTGCTTAAGGGAAAATACAAATTATATCAAAATACCAAAGAATACAATCTGTTTTCCTGCAGTGAACATTTATATGGATATATATAACTGAAATCTAATTTGTAATAGTCATCCCTGCTTCGCTAGATCACTAGAAACGTGAATGAGATTTCCTTCTTGTGCCTCCTCAAAATGTTTTTAAAATTTTTCTGATGAAATTAATTGGGGGTAAGAAGGTTAAAGTAATTTCCATTGAAGCATAATCCAAATAGCTGTAAAACGATAAACAATTTGAAAAGTTTTATCCCCCTTTACTATGTCTGTTTATGGAATTAATGAAATATTATTTTTTTCCTCATGACGTAGGAGGTTTTTTATCATTACTATATCTCTGCAAGACTTTTGTAAGATTTATTTCGTGTCATTTCCTATAGTTCTGTGTCAAATAATTTTTCTGTAATTTTCCTCTTCTTTTAACCACACATCTTTAATTCAGGAAAAAATTCCAGGTGATACCAAAAATGGTTTATACTTTAAGTTTACGTCAATATTAAATTTATAGCCAATTACTAGATAAACTGCTAGTCTTTATCTGTGCTACAGTTTACTCTTACAGTGAATTTGTCTTAGTTAACCTTTTTCTTTCCAAATATTAATTATTCCTATAAACTACATAACATTCCTGGGAACTATGTAAAAATGAATTTGTCAGAAATTCGTGAACATACTAAGTGAACATAATAATTTTACTTCAAGAGTCTTTAAGTTACAACACCGAGGTATAGCATAACATTGATTTCAACACTAACCTCATTTAGTACTGCGTCTAATAAAAATGTATGTATAGATAAAATAACGTTTTACAAATTAATGTACTATCCAGAACTGATTATGTACACTAACGTGCTACACGGTATGATTCGCTAAAAATTATCATTGTTGCATATTAGGTATTTATTTTTGCTTTTTATTATTAGGCAAATATAAAAGCTTAACACGGCAAATCAATTTTATGCACGTACTTATGGCTAAGATAGCCTTCCTGTTTTAAGAATGCATAATAATTCAGAAGTCATACAACAAAAATCAGCGTTATATTTACAAAATTTTCACAG